CAACCATCTCGGATGACTGTAGTAGTCTTCTGGCCGGGTACCACCGCCAGATTCTTCTGCCCACCACTGTCCTCTTTTGCATTACTTCATGGCTCAAGAACCAACAATGGTTTTGTGTGTCCTGGCATAAAAGATCTAACCTCTGCCACTTTCCCTTAAAGCATCTCAATGCCTGGACCTTTCTTGCCCAGCTACCTTATCTGCATCTATTCCTTAAGATGAACCATTCTTCTTGGATACTCAATATTCCCTGTCCCATCACAATCATTTTCCCCCAGGCCTCTGATTGTGCTCATCTCATTAGTTAAAATGGTCTACTCTCCATTTCCAAATTCCAATCATCCATTACAACCTAATGTTCTAATTTTGTTCCATTTTTATAGGCCACTCATGCTGATTCCACCCAGGTAGAATCAATTATATAATAATTTATTATTTCCTATTTGTTTTGCTATCTCTACACTTAGGTTATAAGTGCCTGAGAGCACAGGCACATCTTAGAGATACCTTCCTCTCAGACATCTTCCTTAGAGACATCGTCCTCACAATGTCAGGCGTAATGGGCACTCAACAACAAACATTTGATTTTTGTGCCCTTTACAAACAGAAAACTTGGATACCCTACATTTAACCTAACATTAACCCTAAGATAAAAACACACAGAATTGCTCTTTGATTAAATGTTATTCAACATTTAAGTCCAGTTCTGCTCCTGGATAAAGGTCATCTTCAGATAGTCATGTGACACAGGGGGAGTCAGAAACTGGAAATTTGCACATTTACAACCACCACTCTCCCACAGGGGAGACCTGGTGCTTTTGTTTCCAAATAAGTCAGCGGTCTGCCCTTGTGGATTCCAGCAACCATTTTCTGAAAACATCTGAAAACCTTAACTCCCGAATCCTAAGTAGCCAATTCATCCTTACATCAAGACAAACACCACTGCTTCATGTCTTAACTGAACGACTGTCAGTGGTTGTTATTTTCAGAAGTGATGAAAACTTTCCAACAGAATGGCTTCTTAAGGTGCCCCCCCCTTTTTTTTTCTTAACTCCTGAATTCACAGAACCTAAAACCTACTAAAACTTAGATTTACAAATCTGGCAATCTAAAGCAAATTGATCAGACCAATGACTTTGTAGAAAAACAACATATACATACTTCAGTTCTTATGGTGTATTTATGTAGAAAATCACAGAAATGGAAGTCATAGCAGGAAGGAATCAGGAAAGCAAACAATTGCTGATTTGGAGTAGTAAGTGTTTTAAAACTAAATTGAAAAAAACTAAAGCAACCATATGTTTTATAAACTTAAATGATTAATGTTTAGTAAATCTTCTGATGGGGCACTATTCTTGGCAGAGAATTAATTTATAAGAAACAGAACAAACGGGCAATCCAGCACATTTCATAAAGGATAACTACATTTCCCAGTTATCCATCTGGGTCCTTTTCATTTCAGTGGTTTAATTAAAACTCAATCGTATTATCAATCTGTTACATTCTTCATGTTGATGGTTATTACATTTACAGTACAGCAGAAGTACAAATTAAAGTGAGAAGATGATAAATCTCATTTCCAAATTTCATTTCTGTTTCTCTAGTAACTAATACTCTGGTAATATTTTTTAGCTCACTCATGTTTATAGAACAATTTTCATGATTTTTTCTAATTAAAATAAGGGGAAAAAAGAGAAGCCTGATTTTTTCAATAGCTTATTTTTCTTTTTACATGCATTATATTTTATGATTCTTCTATCAACCCACTCTGTAGAGACATTTGAGTTGGACTCCTCAAAATCTGTAACAAACTTCTTTTATTTCTTTCTTTTTAAGAATAGTTGTCTTTTAACTGAATGATCTTTTAATATTAGACTTCCTCAAATTAAAGTAAGAAGCATATCATTCAATTATGAATTCTTGCGTTTTAAATTTATATGAAAAGCATCATTATTTTCTGTACAAATCATTAACAAAAGAAATAAGTACCTTTTTCATATCAAGAATGCTTCTTCAAACCTAGAGTATTAAATAAATATTCTTTGGAGTATGCCAGGGATACAGACACATAATCTTATTAACATATGATTATAAATTGGTTTATAATAATGCCAAAAATAGGATACAGTGGGTTATACTGAAAAAAATGCTATTCAAATGCTTTCAAAATATTCAAAACTATACAGCTATAAGCAAAGTCATGAAAAATCAAATTGAGGCTGACTTTCAGAAGAAAAAACATGTACAAAACTCCTCTCTCCCTCTCCCTCCCGACCTCCTGATCTGGAAAGGATGCACAGGATAAGAATGGATATAACCCAATGTGTCTTGACAGACAATTAGAAGGGCTTTAACTTAGTGACCACCCATTAAGAAAAAGAAACAATTATATTGAAATAACTGTTGTCAAAAAGTGATCTGGAAAATCTCCACCCTTGTCAACATTCTTGCATTTCTGAGCACTGGTTATTCCCTATCAATGTCTGCGATCAGTCAGCCCTGACTATGTACAGTCTACCTGTTTGGACCAAGGTGGACTTCCATCCCTAGAGGCAAAATTTACTGTGGTCAATTAAAACTTTCTCAAAAAGAAACACCTGTTCCTCAGAAATGCTAATGAAATGCCTTACAGTTTGAGGAACTTAAGTCCTTTGCTACTTACACAGCTGACTTTATCTGTTCAACACTTTGAACAAGGGCTCCATCCCTGCAGCCAATTATTTAATAAGGATCCCACAACATTATCTAAATGTCAAAAGATGTATGTTCTAGTTGAGCAGCAGTAGAAGAAAATCCTCTTGTTAGTATTCCAGAAGTCAATTTGCCTGAAACTCAAACCAAGTCTTAACGCAGCATAACAATGAAAAGACAACTCCCTGGAAGTCAACATACCTGGGTGCCCAGCTGAGCTAGGCCTATTCTAACCAAGTGTCTATGTGTGTGACATGAGCAATTAATTAGGACAGAGTTCACAGAGCCGGGGGTGTTCTGTTGTTCTGAAAAGATCAAAAGAAGTTAATTATGTAGAGATAAGAGAGAAAGTCATAAAAAAGTCACAAAGTCAGAAAGGGGAAGAGGAAGGGAGAGAAAGTAGAGGGGGAGAGAGGAGAGGTGAGAGGGAGAGGTGAAAAAACTAGCAAGTAAGAGAAATGCTCTTTCGTGGAAGAACAAATAGTTTCATATTGCTCAAAACTGTATGTAATGGATTGTTTCCATATCTTAGCTATTGTAAATAATGCCACAGCCCAAGTGTCCATCAGTAGATGAATGGATAAAGATACAATAGAATAACACTGAGCCATAAAAAAAGAATGAAATCTTGCCATTTGCAACAATATGGGTGAACCTAGAGGGCATAACACTAAGTAAAATAAGCCAAAGAAAGACAAACACCATATGATTTCACTCATAAGTGGAATTTAAGAAACAGAATAAGTAGACAAAGAAAAAAAGAGACAAACAAACAAAAACAGACTCTTAAATCCAGAGAATAAATGGGCAGTTGCCAGAGGGGAGATGGGTAAGGAAATGGGTGAAATAGATAAAGGAGATTGAGTACACTTATCTTGATGAGCACTGAGAAAGGTATAGCATTGTTGAATCATTATATTGTACACCTGAAATTAATACAGCACAGTATATTAATTATACTTCAATTTTAAAAATTACAAAAAAATTGTATGTGATAGAAGACAAAATATAATGTTGAGGCAACAGACAAAACACAAAGAGTCTTTCTGGTATACAAAGGAATTCAGATTTTATCCTAAAACTGATAGAAGATTATCCCAGTTTACCTGCTAAAGGATTTTAAACAGCAAAGTTTCAGAAGCAGGTTTGTATTATAATGATAACTTGGAACCACTTCAAAAATTGGAGACAAGGAGACCATTTAAGAACAATAGGATAGCAATGCATTTGAGAAACAAGGAGAAAAATAGGAATAATTAAGACATGGACAAGGGAAAAGGAATTAGTGAGTGGTGGGCTGGGATAAGGAATTTTTTATTAACATGAACAGTATGGCTGAGAAGATCTCACAGAAATTCAGAAATAGTAAGTGGAATGAACAGAAGAGTTTCTCAGAGATGCTGATGAGCACCAATTTGGACCAACTGAGTTTGAAGTGACTATGTAGCATCCAGGGAGATCTGCAGGCCATTCTGGATTTCAGAAGAAATTTGGGAGTGTGTATGTGTATCTCCCATGTATATATCCTGTAGCCCAAATGAATATTAAAAATGTACATATGATTCTGAGTGCAAGAGCTCAGACAAGAGTGAGCACAGGGAGAAGAGAACTGAAGGCAGACCCTTGCAGAAAAAAGACACTAAAGGACAAGTGAAGGAAATGAGCTTATCAAGAAGAAAAAAGAATGCCCAGAAATGTAGGATGGAAAAGAAAAAAAAAAAGTTTTCAAGAGAGGAAACAATTTCCAGGAAGAAAATATTCCAAATGCATCAGAGATACCTAGGAAGGTCAAGAACAACTCATGTGCATGATAACTTTTACAATTCCAACTATCTAAGGGTTATTATTGGTTTTGTTTTTGTCTTTATTTTAAATCAGAAAAATAAAGGCTCACAAGGTTTATGTAACTGGTTTATGTAACCAGACAAGGGAGTGTTGGAGCAGAATTTTGAATCCACACTGTTCTAGTACCATATCCCAAGCTTGTTCTTTCTTTTTTTTTTTTAAAAAGACACATTTATTCAGCATCATGATCAGACTATTACATTTAGCAATCAACAGCATGGGTGCAAAAAAAAAAAAAAATCTACATTAAAACCCTTTGTTGGAATGCTTTACACTTTCCACAGAACAGAAACTAAAATAACCTGTTATACAATTAGTCACAAATACAGTCCTCGAGTTTTTTGCCCATACACATGAGTATTGTCTAAAACATGTCTTCTTTGTAGCAGCTAGGCCCTGCCACCACTGTGCTTGGCTGAGTTCACAAATCTGTTGTAACCTGTAGCTTCCCTGTCACTTCTCTGTCTCTTCTCTCCTGCTAAGCTTTGTTTCCTGGCAGTAATTAAAACCTTCTGCCACTGCCCTAGCTACTGCTGCTGCTGGAACCACCATAGCCACCTTGGTTTCGTGGTTTGGCAAAGTATTGGCCTCCACCACCACAGGGGCCAGAGCTTCTGCCTCCAAAATTTCCTCCTTTCATGGGTCCAGAATTTGAGGATTGACTGTTGTAATTGCCAAAATCATTATAGCTTCCGCCACCTCCAAAGTTGCTTCCATCATTACCAAATCCGTTATAGCCATCCCCACGGCCACCATATCCACCACCACCTCGACTGCCACCAAAGCCACCTCGACCACTGAAGTTCCCTCCACGACCAAAGTTGTCATTCCCACCAAAACCACCTCCACGACCACCACCAAAGTTTCCAGACCCACTTCGACCTCTTTGGCTGGATGAAGCACTAGCCATCTCTTGCTTAGATAGGGCTTTCCTTACTTCACAGTTGTGGCCATTCACAGTATGGTATTTTTGAATGACAATCTTGTCTACAGAGTCAGGGTCATCAAATGTTACAAAAGCAAAACCTCTCTTTTTGCCACTGCCCCGGTCAGTCATGATCTCGATCACTTCAATTTTCCCATACTGTTCAAAATAATCTCTTAGATGATGTTCTTCAGTGTCTTCTTTAATGCCACCAACAAAAATCTTTTTCACAGTTAAGTGGGCACCAGGTCTTTGAGATTCTTCTCTTGAGACAGCCCTCTTTGGTTCCACAACTCTTCCATCCACCTTGTGTGGCCTTGCGTTCATGGCTGCATCCACCTCCTCCACAGTGGCATACGTGACAAAGCCAAAGCCTCTGGAGCGCTTGGTGTTTGGATCTCTCATTACCACACAGTCCGTAAGCGTTCCCCATTGCTCAAAATGGCTCCTCAAACTCTCATCGGTTGTTTCAAAGCTCAAACCTCCGATGAAGAGCTTCCGCAGCTGTTCAGGCTCTTTGGGAGACTCTGACTTAGACATGACGGCGGTGGGAGGGGAGACTTTAACGATGCTTACTCGGCGGCGTCCACGGGCAGCCCAAGCTTGTTCTTTCTATCACAGTCTTTCACAATTTGATGTTAGAAATACCAGCAGTAAATAAATGTAAATGATGTTGAAAAGAAAAGCATTTTTAAGAGATGAAGAGAAAGGGACAGGGAAACAGAACCAAGATAAGAGGAGAGTAGGACTACTTATTGGAGGAAGTGAATGGAAAGAGATTACCAGAATAGAGAGTTCAAGGGAAGAGATGAGACCAAAATGGTAGAAGGGATCTACCTGCCCCAGACATAGGAGAAAGGAGGCAATAATATGTACACAAAGAAATGCAGTAGAAAGGAGACTGACAGTAGAGAGATATTTTGCCTGATCTTTTTTTGCTGTTGTTTGCTTGTTTGTTTTCTTGGTAAAGTTGATCAAAAGCTATTTGCAGAAAGGAATGAGACTTGAGAGTATTAGAACAAATGCAATATTCTGCCTACCATTTCTAAATTATTTTACTCTCTTACATTTTTAAAGGAGTACTGTAATATTCCTTTCCTTCACCAATAATGTCAATACAATATGTGTGTTGTTTAGGAGGGAGGGGAAATCAAGAAAATTGTATCACTACATTTAAATAAATGCGTGAATGATTAAAGAAATTGAAACAGTAATCAAAAACTCCTAAGAAATAAAAGCCCAGGACAAAATGGCTCCCCTAGAGAACTCAACTAAACATTTAAAGAAGAACTGAGGCTTATCCTCCTCAAATTCCTCCAAAGAATCAAAGAGGAGAGAACATTTCAAAACTCATTCTATGAGGCCAGTATTACTCTGACACCAAAACCAGACAAAGACACAATAAGAAAACAATAGATCAATATCCTTGATGAATACTGAGGCAAAAATCCACAACAAAATACTAATAAACCTAATTCAAAGGCACATTAAAAGGATTATACACCATGACCAAGTGGGATTTATACATCGAATGCAGGGATGGTTCAACATACAAAAATCAATCAATGCAATAAACTGTTTAAGCAAGATAAAGCAAAAAACCACATGATCATATCAAATGATACAGAAAATACATTTGATAAAATTTAATATCCTTTAATGATAAAAATACTGATCAAACTTGGAGTATAAGGAAACTATCTCAACATAATAAAATCTATATACAAAAAGTCCACGGTTAACATCGTACTCAATGGTAAAAAACTGCAAACTCTACTTCTAAGATCAGGAACAAGGCAAGGATGCCCACTTTCACCACTATTATTCAGCATACTACTGGAAGTCCTAGTGAGAGAAATTAGATAAGAAAAAAATAAATAAATGCCTTCCAAATTGGAAAAGAATAAGTGAGATTATCACTGATCACATATGACATGATCTCATCTGTAGAAAACTCAAAAGATTCCATGGATGGGAACAAATGGTTACAACTAATAAACAATTTCAGCAAAGTTGCAGGATACAAAATCAACACACAAAATTCACTTGTGTTTCTATACACTAACAATGACCAATTCCAAAAGGAAATTAAGAAAGCAACTTATTATAGGGAATCAAAAAGGATAAAATACTTAGGAATACATTAAACAAGGAGGTAAAAGACTTGTACACTGAAAACTACAAAATGGTACTCAAAGAAACGGAAAATAAATAGAAAGCTATCCACGCCCATGAGGTGGAAGACTTAATATTATTAAAATGTCCACGCTACCCAAAGCAATCTACAAATTCAAAGTAATATACCTATCAAAATCCTAATGACATTTTTAATATAACATATTAAATTATAAAAATAATATAAAAAACATAAAGAAATATAAAAAACATCTAAAATTCACATGGAACCTCAGTACAAATAGACAATGCCAAGACTACACAATGGGGAAAGACTAAACATTCAACAAATGGTGTTGGGAAAATTGGATGTCCACTGCACAGAATGAAGTAGGGCCCTTATCTTATACCATATACAAAAATTAACTCAAAATAGATAAGCACTAAAACTATAAAACTCCTAGAAGAAAACAGGGGGAAATCTTCAGGACTTTGGATTTTACAATGTTTTATTAGACATGACATCAAAAGAACAGGCCACAAAAGAAAAAATAGATGGGACTACATCAAACTAAAAACTTTTGTGCATCAAAGGAAACAACAGAATGGCAAGGCAACCAACCTACAGAATCAGAAAATATTTGCAACTCAAATAAATAATAAGTTAATATCCAGAATATTTAAGGAATTTCAACAACAAAACAAATAATTTTAAAAAATGAGCAAAGGACTTGATTAAATAATTCCCCCCAAAATTATATATGAATGGCCAAAAAGCATATGAAAAGACTGTTCCACATTATTAATCATAAGATAAATACAGATCAAAACTACTATAGGATATTAGTTCATACCCATTAGGATGGTCACTATCAGAAGAACAGAAAATAACAACTGCTAGAATGTGGATAAATTGGAGCGCTTGTACACTGTTCATGGGAATGTAAAATGGAGTAGCTATTATGGAAAAGAGTACAGGCGTTTCTTAAAAAACTTAAAATAGAACTACCCTGTAATCCAGTGAGCCCACTCCTGGGTATAGATCTAAAAGAATTCAAGGCAGAATCTTGAAGAGATGTCTGCATATCTATGTTCATCACAGCATTATTCCCAATAACTAGGAGTTGAAAGCAACCCAAACATCCACCAATATATGAATGGATAAAGAAAATGTGCTATAATCATATAAAGGAATATTATACAGCTTTATAAAAGAAGGAAATCCTGTCATATGCTACAACATGGACATTTTACTAAGTGAAATGAGCCAGTCACAAAAGGATAAATACTGTGTAATTCCCCTCATATGAAATATCCAAAGTAGTCAAAAACATAGAAACAGTGATCAGAAAGGTGATTAGTTCCCAGAGGTAAAGGGAGGACATTGGGGAATTAATGTTTGGTAGGTATATTTTTTCAGGGCAGAAAGATGAAAATGTCTGGCGATCTGTTGGAAAACAATGTGACTATCCTTACCACTGAGCCGTAGACTTAAAACTGGTTAAGATGGTAAATTTTACAGCACGTGTTTTTTACCACAATAAAAAAAGGTTTTGGAAAAAATAAAAAAGCAGAATAGTTGTGGATCCAGATGCACAGAAACTGTATGAACACACAGAGGAATGGCATTTGGGCTGAAAGAACGCATTATAGGACATCAGTGGTCTTTGACATGCAAATAAGAGAGCTAACAGTTCACTTTGTAGTTTTAATGGCAAGGTGGGCAATACCTACCTTGATGAAAATAGAGACCAGTCACGGAAAAGAGCATATCATGGAGTTTTAATTTTAGAAAAAATGTAGAATTCTGTCAAGGTTATCTACTTTAAAAGTTAAATGTAGCAAACAAGGGTTCATCAATCAAGTATAACAAACAGAATGTTTGCCTCATATCTATATCTCCAGCTCACTGGAGAAGCTGAAAATTGAAACTATAGAGATAAGGAAGCTTATTACATTTTTTAGGTATAATTTCTGGTTGATAGGCTAGAAAGATTATCAACTGGAAATTATATCATGGCCAACTAAGTGAATGCTCCCCTCCAAATAATGTAGCTTTATTAGACACGCCTCCCTTCTCCCTTCCACCACCTTCAGAAAGCTGGAAATGGCACAATTTCTAAGCCAAGAGACATTGATTATGGAGAAGAGGAGGTAGGTGTGATTTCAGTAGAATCGGGTGGGGAAAAAAAAAGACAGAAATTATGATACATAATTATATAATGGTATCATACTACTGTGTGGCAACAATCCCTTCTGGTCAGAGCAGGGCTGCAAGAGTTGCCATGGTGAATTCCCACAGTAAACTGGACAGCCAAGTGTAAATAAAGGTAAAGCTGATGCCAGACACAGTCTCCTTGGGCTTGGTTGCTCATGACCACCAGAGGTGGGGGCAAGTACCCGAGAACCAAGAATCCAGACAGGGAAGGAACAATAAAAGGATACTGCAAAGAGCATTAGGGCTTTTTATTCCTTTGATAATACGTATAAAATCATCCCTGAGATTTTATCTTAGTAAAAACGAAGGAGAAAAGAAAACTGAAAAAGCACAAAGCAACCCCAGGCTCCAAATTCTCCAACCTATCTTTATACCTTGGGAAGTTTCTAAGGAAAATAGCCATCTCTGTGCAAAATGATAACCAGTCAAAAAGATAAGAGACATGTGAGTTCTCACAATCTAGGAACAGGGTGCAATTTGGCCCAACTGCTCTCCTGACTGTAATGAAAACCACAGTGCTCTGTTGTGCAAATAATGGTTTGTAAAAACAGAGGCTTTATGAATTCCGCCATCTAATGATTCTTCCATAACATGCTAATTAATTCTATAATTAAGAAAATGTTAAGAATCTTGGGGCGCCTGGGTGGCTCAGTCGTTAAGCGTCTGCCTTCGGCTCAGGTCATGATCCCGGGGTCCTGGGATCGAGCCCCACATCGGGCTCCCTGCTCTGCGGGGAGCCTGCTTCTCCCTCTCCCACTCCCCCTGCTTGTGTTCCCTCTCTCGCTGTCTCTCTCTCTGTCAAATAAATAAATAAAGTCTTAAAAAAAAAAAAAAAGAAAATGTTAAGAATCTTAAAAACTTAGAAAATCAAGGAAATGCTGAATTGAAATTGCCAGCTAGTTTTTAACACGGTACTGTTAATAGTCGGTAACATCTCGAACAAATTCCATTCTTCCTTCTTCATAATTAAACTTTGCTTTCCACCTTCCTTAGCCTAAGGCATCTTACCTGCACCAGGGCCTGACCTGATAAGGAAAATAAAACCTAGGATATGCAAAATAAAAAAGTGGCCTCGCACATAAGCAGAGTAAGACGCTGGCCTATGTGGTGTTCTTTGTGGGTCTCCAGCATGAAAAGTCCTCTGAACTTCAATTGAGAGGAGCCTGCCTGCCACAGTGGGGGATTTAGTCCTTTGGGTTAAGACATTTTGCACATTAAAATCAACCTATGGGGAGGTGAGCGTTTCTATGAGAAGCA